TAATGCACACATAGCATCTATCTTTTTTGCATGGCTTTGTACACATTCATAGTTGCTTGTATTTCTATTTTGATACACAATTCGTATTGTGAGGGACTAGATATAAAAGATAAGGAGACCAGACTGTAAATCATGGGAAAATATTTATACAATTTTTTTAATAAATGGTCTCCCCAAGCCAAGAAAGCTTCCTTTTATTCCTGTGTCAGTACAGAAACAATATTGCCAGAAGACAAGTCAGAAGAGAAAACACCAGAAGAATGTATTTTTGGTCTTTTAAAAGTCATGAAATCCCCTTGTAAATATTACTGAAGATCAGATACCTGAGCAGATATACTTGCATTAGGGCACTGGAGGAAGGAGGCAATTCTTGGTATTCATGTTCACTTCTCAGAAAGTAATTTTTACGTAGCTACTCAACCAAGAGCAGGCAGTCAAAGTTAACATGTCTTCCAACTTCAACTTGATTAAGAACTAATTAAGGTCTTAAAGAAATTGGCACCATGAACATGACACTTGAAACTGTACTCTTCTGACACTAGTCTCTACCAAACTGTATCTGCTTTGCATAGTTGAAATAAATCAGTTTACACAGCAGAGGAAAACAGGAGGCTCTAGCTACACAGCACACACTCTCTTGCTTATGCTCTCTGTCGCCCCTCCACAGCTAGCAGAACTCTTTAGGTAAAAAACTAGCATGCCCACCTAGTTCAGTAAACTGACAGTGGTCTGCACGTTGTTATAGAAAGGCTTGATGTCAGTGGAGGCCACTCTGTGAGGCAGTGCATTGGGAGAAGAAATTGTGGTCCTTTTCACAGTGGACTGTTCAGGACAACAGTTGAATAATTTCTGACACAAAACGCTGCTTTGCTTATGTTCAGGAAATTAGGAGGTACCTGTGGTTTCCACCCTACCTGTGCTGTGTCAGTACTGTCAGCATTGCAGTTTTATTTTCTAGCATCAATATCTAGTGTTTTGCTCCCGATTGGTACATACCCCAAGAAAGTCACAATTTGGTACTTGGACAGTTCTTCATACAAGATCCTTACTCCGTGATCTGTGACCTGATTTACACTGAGCCTGGAACGAAGGGAAAGAAAAGAAAGTCAGAATCAAGACAAATTACAGGTGTCCATCACCCATGACTGGAGGTCTATGCATTTTCCTCTCATATTTTAACAGGTCCTTATGCCACATCCTAAAAGCCATTATGGGAAATACACCTCAGTTTTATATGGCTCACTACAAAAACAATAGAAAACAAAAAGCCCCAAATCTCCAAGGTAATGCGTTGGAAGCTGTCCATAGAACTGGAAACAATAAAATGTAGTAAATCAGAAACCAGAGACAAACACCTCATCCTCTGCCTGTGCTTAGTGTGATTGCAGGAAGAAATTCTGCTTGACATCCTAACAAAAAAAAGCTTTCCAAACTACTCTTCTTGCAATATTCTCTCTGAGTATCCAGTGAAAGCCAGGCATCTTGAAAGTCACAACACATTCAGGCTCCACTGAATAAAGGTTGTGAAAAGCCCTGGCCAGGAAATAGAACTGCAGTCCCATGGGTGTGCTAGATGTTTTGAATTTTATTGTCCCAACTAGACACGAAACAAACCAATGTCAGTTGTTCACAGAATAAAAATACATCTTTTCACAGTTGTTTTGGGGTTTTTGGGTGGGTTTTTTTTTTTACACTTCTCAAGCTTTTTCTCCTTGCCTAAACGGACAGGTTCCTGTGAAGCATTCCAATTCTGATGAATCACATTTTCTGGCTAAAGCTGTCCTGTGAAAACATTTTGACCAGTTTTAGTTTCTACGCAAACTCTGAAGTTGAACATTCACTGCCGAGAGTCCCTTATCACGAACAGCCTCCCTGGCTTTTGCTAGTTAGAAACTTGGTCACTTTGGAATGCACTAGCACATAGGAGAAATCAGAGCCAATTCCTACAGATCAGAACAGTCTGCTTCTTTGAAAGGGATGGTTAAACTGTTAGAAACAACATTTCCTGACCTGCAGAAATTGGTCATTAGAAATCCAAGTCCTAACATCAGAAGAGCCATAAAGAGAAAAAGACAACCTAATAGACTGGTTTGGTGCTGGGAATGGTGCTAAGATCACACTGCGTATGGCACGATCATATGACAGGGACAAAGAATGAAAGTCTGTCCTTTTCTTTTTTGTTTTGTCTTACATACTTATGCATTTTCCTTACTTATGCAAGTTTCCTTATTGCTTCCTCTTGGGAGGTCAGTGGATTTGCAACTAACTGGAAAAAAACAAGTGTCACTTGCTTTGATTTAGTCCTAGAGGAAAACAGGCAGAGCACAGCCAACCAGGAGGAATAAATCCATTTATGAAAAAAAACCCAACGAACTCTCATGAGGCTGAAGGAGCTTTAAAAAAAGATGTATTTGAAGTTCCTGGTTTTCTGCACCTAAACGTTTGGACAAATAAGGTATAGCTACATGGCACAACCTCAAAGGACTGCAGGTGGAACAATCTGGCCTGTGATGTTAGAGGTGGAGTTCTCCCTGTTCACACCAAGCCATGTCCTCCCTCCACATCACCTCAGAGAAGCACCACATTGAAAGACTTCAACTACATCCTCTCATGGAGTACTACATGTTAGCTTTTGTTCTGTGAAAGCCAGACATCTTGGCAAGATGTAAAAGCAAGAAATACAGAGCTTTTGATCAAGGGTTATTGTGAAGAGTTGATCCTCTCTTACTCTGTATGACCAAGGGCAGAGATTGGCTTAGGGATTCTTCAGATAATGGAGGAAGCACTTCTGTTTCCTTTCTTTTCCTCTAAGCACTGTCTCCCATAAAAATCCTCTTTCGAGACAGAACAGTTTGAGACAGAGCTAACTAAACCTACAGTTTAAACAGTCCTGGTTTCTAAAGACTTCTTATCACTCT